ACATGTATGAAACATACCTGGGACTCACATGTGCCACATATGACAACGGTTTCACGGGGGGCCACTTTCAAGACTGCGCGGGTGGAGGAGGGGTGGGTGGAGGGGGCATGCACGGCCACGACACGCATGGCCGGTGACCCTCCGCTCGCCAGGTCGGTACGCGAGCAAGGCGACCGTCCGCCGCACAGAAGCCACAAAAGAAGTCGGAAACGACTGGAAACCGAAAAGAATAATGTATCGTTCCCATGAATGAACACCAAACACACACTGCAGCGGTCGCAGCTTGTCGCCCGGAAAATGATATACCGGGGCGTGTTAAGCTATCATTACGCGCCATTATCAGCCCGACGCCACAATCAGTTAAGCGCGTCAAGCCGGATGGACCGGGGCGCCTTGTGGAGCGTGGCGAGGCTGACAGTCCGCGGTGGCAGCTTCACGCCCGGGGCGCACCCGCACCGTGTCCACGGCGGGCTGGCGTCGCGAGTCCAAGGTCGACGTCGGCCGTGTCCACGAGGTCCACGACGACACGATAGTCACCGCGGAGTCGTCCCAAGCCCGCCGTTCCGCCTTTTCCATACTCGCGGACCTGTGCCGCCGGTCGGCTCCGGTCCCCCAGGCCCCACCGGGCCCGGCCCGCCCGTCTCCTTGGCTTCCTGAGATACTATCATGTATCGCGCACCCATTGTCTTGCTGAATTAACAATGATAAACGCTCCGTGGTCGGGAGAGAGGTGAGGAGGGGCGGGGCGGCCAGGATGGGGACCGGACCGGGCGGGCGGGACCCGGGCAGCGGGCGACGTGAGAAACACGTACAAGACTGCAGCCAACGGAAGAAAAAGAAAATAAAAACCGCAGGCACGACATAATCAACGCAGCGCAGCGTGTTTAAAAATGCAAGTATAAAACTGTCGTCGTACTTTTAATTTATTTTTTTCGGAAACCAAAGTGGCAACACGGGCGGACAACTGCAAGATCGAGAGGGGTCGTCGACTTGCACCCCTTCGCCGGCACTCTGCCCGCCCCACCCCGAGAGCAAGCACCGAGAGGAGGAGCCGGGGCAGAGGGTGTGAGAGAGGAGAGAACGTGAGAGAAAGGACGGAGAGGGTGAGAGAGAGGACGGAGGAGTGTGAGAGAGAGGAGAGAGGGAGAGAGAGGGGTGAGATGGACAAGAGGGAGAGAGAGGGGTGAGATGGACAAGAGAAAGAGAGGGGGTGGAGATGGCCGAGGAGGTGGCCGTGCCACTGCGCCCGCTGCTGTGTCCACCAGTCCTCCAACGCCGCATATCGAGGGCTTTGCAGAGAGAGAGGCATTCACCCTGCAAAGCCCTGCTGCTGCTGCTGCTGCTGCTGCTGCTGCTGCTGCTGCTGCTTGTTACAGTTGTGGTTCTCTCCACATTTCCATCCATCCTGGTTGCGCGCGCCTGCTCCACCTCCACCGCCCCGCCCCGCCTGTTGAGCACGTCATTATCGTCGCGACAGCAGGCCCCGCTAGTTCCGAGCGCCGCCGCCGGCCGGGCGAGGGCGCCACCTCTCGGCGCTGCCCGGCCCGGCCGCCGCCGCACTTATGTGCCAAGAGGAAACAATGGCCAGAGGGGCCGGCGGCCGGCGGGGCAGCTATGTCGCTCGTACATCGCGTTACACAGCGCGGAAGCATTGACCCCCTTCAGGCGTATCGAATTGTGGTTACCCCTGGTTACCTTCGCGCGGCGGCGGCGGCGGCGGCGGGAAGCTGCGGCCGCGGCAGGACGGACGGCGCCGACGTGCGTGTTCGCGAGAGACAATTTCCTCCTCTCTCTGCGGCCAACGACACGGCGCGCCCCGTCCAAACCAAAAGCCATCGAGCGGGCCGCGGTGAACCGACGACGCAGCGACCGAGCAGGCCGGCGTCATCGCCCAGGCTGAGCAGCGCCGCAGCCGCCAACAGCCTCCGGCCGACCCATGTCGTCCTAACGACGCTACGAGTTACCCCGGCCAAGAGGTCTTTTTCACGGTGTCCTCATATACACGGATAGCGGGGCCGGGGCGGGGACCCGCGGCTAACGAGACTTTGGCACGGCCCACTGCCGGCCGGCGCGGCCGGGGCCCCCTTATGTGCTCCGGGTGACAGCGGGGGGAGAGAGAGGGGGGGGGGGGGCAGAGGCGCTGAAAACCCATGGGATCGGCCGCGTCATGGATGGGATGATTGCCGGCATTAGCGTCACGTGATGCGCCGTGGGACATGTCATGGCTCCGCCGAAGGCTCCGGCCGCAGCAGCAGCGCCTCCCACTTTGTCACTGCGGCCGGCGAAATTAGAGGCCGAGCGGCGCACTTCGCTTTGGAAATGACGCGCGGCAGCGGGGAAAACATTAAACGAGATGCGGCGAGGCATTTACTTTGGACAGCGCCTCTAAACGCGTAGATCCACGCTTTGTGTTGGTTCTTTTATTTCATGTTTTTGGTCGCGTTTTCTTTAATCCAGCCGAGCAGCAGCAGCACACACCTCGCGCGCGACGCG